CAAACTACTGTTATATCCTACGTAAGTTGACTGATAAGAACGTTGTAGAGTTGGGTTCATTCCAGTGATGTACACAATATAGTGGACTAGTAAGTACCAAGTAAATTCCTCTAAGGTGGCGGGTGAATTAGTAAGAGTAAGGTGGCAGAAGCGAAGCGCCCCCGGGCTCGACCTTTTGTGTCTAGAGCCCGGTATCTCCCGACAACACGGGACCATTGTGATGACATCACGACCCAGACTCCATCCATTGAGATCCGCCTCTCAGCCATCATGATCTAGTCGCCACCCATTCAGATCCCGGTCCGGGCCATACAGATGCTATCTAAAGGGAAATATCTCGGCTCTCGATGGCTACTCAAGACCGGCCCGTATTTGGGCCGTTGAGATGTATTTGGATGCATTAAGATGCCGATCGGGTTTTTCCGACACAATCATTGGTCACGCGCATTTTGGTTATGAATCCGTAGACGTTGTGATGAGCGTGGCCGAGACATAGATGCTCACTCACTACTTGTATGACGATCGTCATTAATGTCACCAGCGAAATGGAGCCGAGACCAGTGGTACGGTGGATGATGTCGATGACTCGTATTATATATTTGTTCCAGAAAGCGGCGCGGTTGGTCTCGAAAAGGCGCCGTTGTGCTTGGCCGGACCGATAAGCCGCGATGCCAGCGTCTGCAAACCTCTTTTGGGGTCATTTGACAACCACGGCCGCCCGGGCGAGCCATGCCGGGTTCTCAGATCGGAGCCTTCAAGCTGATACTTGACTTACATTATTGGACAAATCGAGAGCAAGATTTGTCCTAGGCAGTGTTATGCATCCACTGAGTGGCCCCACTACCCAACGGCGGAACAAACACGCGTAAATAGGCTCAACTTCGCCGGCCGCCCGCCAACGACCGTTGTAAGAAAGCGAGATTCTGAGATTCAGCTACGGCGAACTGAGTCATGAATTAATTAGTCCGCTCTCGCGCATATGTCTGACGGCACATGTTGGCAAGAGGCAGGGGTGGATTAACTCAAGCGCATGAGGCCAAGTTGCCAACACAATTGAGCTCATGCACAATCTACCAGACTCCGATGCAAATACGAGGGTGCCCTGGCCGCTGACTACGCGTCCAAGACCCACCTTTGCTGGAAGGCGATCAACACGGTGGGCAAAGCGCGGTGACCCAGGTGAGGAAATCTGTGCTGAATGTCCGAGCAACGCAACGTGCCAATATAATTTGATTAATTTCCGAGTTCACAAAGAGCGATACAAAGGCCAAGTGGAACTCTTAGGGTGACGTTGCGTCGCACGGAAACGGTGCCGCACATATATCACTGCTTGGAGTATGGCGATTTGCCCGCCGTGTTGCGCTCCGGGACGCGGCTATTCATATCTCGAGATTCCGGTAAGACACTGCAGCGGAGATGACTTGCAAGCCAGCCAAACCCGCAAAGCGCAGCGAGGCAACGCCGCCAAAAACTGCTCAAGCAACGGCCACGTCACCTTCCGTGGGCCTAAAACAAGAATCTTTATGCTCACCGCACGGCCGCTACTACCAGTTGTCACGGCACGTTGCACAGCCACTCCTAACCACGCCGTTGACAAACCGGGTTATCACATATGTCTCCTTTACTATATTTCCATCCTGTGACACAGCTATAAGCGTGGATAAATTGATGGTAGATGCAGACCCAGAAGCCGTTCCTGCGTTTGTGGCAGAACGAATAGTACGTTGCCGAGAGGGAACATGAACGACGCGTGTGACCAGCAAGGTCACATTTATTCACGGAGCGCGCAAAGTCGGCGCTAGACCAATCCAACTTGCTCTCTCCCAACCACCACCCGCCGCCGCTCACCATTGTTCTCCTGTCTGGGCTTGAATTAAGTTCAGAAATCTGTGTTTTGCGTCACTGGTTCTACTTGCTTTGTAGCTCCGCTGCGGCCCAGGCAATCGTACCCCGATATATAAATCATCTACCGGTATGTTCAGGTTTGTTCACCTTTCCCAACCACCACCCGATATTCCACTCCAACTCTCACAATCACCGCCCTTGTTTTACTGTTACTCAAAATTTCTACGATGTCTCGTGTCTCCGGCAATGCTCCCGCCTCCCCTTCCAAGTACCGTCGAAACAACCCTTTCAGGATACTGAAAAGCACTAAACAGGGAGCCCGGGACGAACTACGAAACATGGTGCACGGAAAGTCATACATCTGCACTCTCGAATCTCTCATCCAGAACTTTATGCCGGAGCACAAGTCGACCTCCAAGAAGACCGTCAACAACATCTTCGCTGGTGTCCCAACCACCTTCTCGTCGGAGAAGGCCATGTACGGGTGCATCGTGAGTTGTCGCTCTCTGTTTTCCTGTCTTCTCCACTAACAGCAGGTTGTAGGTTGATCGACTCAACGGATCTCACCTGTTTCCCGGGAGGAAGTTCGTAGCCACTCCGTACAAACCGGACAAGAGCGACGCGACGAAGCAAGCCATCGACTGTGGGATGTACGCATCCGCTCATGCTCCGAAGGAGGAATGGACCGACCTTGGCGAGGAATCCCGACGCTTGAACTGGTCGCGGCTGGAGCTCGGCATCGAGTGTAAGGTCAAGGCGAACCTCGATCCCTTCGACGAGTGGCAGGACGGCGACGAGCCGGTAGCTCAAGGAAGGAAGGACGTATGGGGACAGCTTCTCTCGTACGCCGACCTCGTCTTCCGATACCAGCAGCGTCTGTTCCACTACACGGTGATCTTCTTCGGCCATTACGCTCGCGTCATCCGCTTCGATCGCTCTGGCGTTGTCGCCTCCGACAAAATCAACTACGCGAAGGATGGCTCCCGGCTCACAGAGTTTCTTGTTCGATACTGCCGTATGAAGGAGACGAACCGTGGGCACGATCCGACGGCCACTCGTATCGAACGCACCGATGATCTTTTCGATAAGCTCAAGAAGCACGGGAAGAAAGCTGTGGCGGAGTCTCCCGAGGGCCACATTCCCCAACTATTCGATGCTACTCTCGACGAGTCCTGGCCGTGGTGGAAGCTCGAGGTTTTCAACGAGGGTGCCGACGGGGAGGGTGCCGATGGGGAGGGTGCCGACGAGGATGGTGCCGACGAGGGTACCGACACATGGCAGTCGTGGGCAAACCGCACTTCCTGTCTGATGGTATCGTGGGGCGTGGAACTCGTGGTTACATTGCCGTTCCTCTCAACAGCTCGGGAGAGCCCACCGGATCCTTTGTGTATCTGAAGGACGCGTGGCGGGTCAACCACCCCGGCATGGAGAAGGAGGGGGATGTCCTTCGCGCTCTCAATAAAGCAAAGGTGCATCATGTCCCTACCGTTGTTTGTCATGGCGACCTCCCGGGCCAAGACACGTTGTCCTACAACAATTGGGCTCAATACCATTCCGACGAAACCCCGGAAAAATGCCCTTTAAAGGCGCATCAGCACTATCGTGTCGTTGAAGCCGAGGTGGGGAAGCCACTCTCCCAGTTCGCCAACGGCCGTGAGCTTGTAGTCGCTATACTGTGTTGCATTGTCGGTGAGTGCTAGCCCCACAGTATGGATGTGGCGCCATGCTAACGTGCATACACAGCCCACAAGGAGGCGTGTGCAGCGGGCTATATCCACAGAGACATAAGCGCCGGTAATATCCTTCTTTACAAGAACGCCAGTGGTCAATGGGTTGGTCTCCTCAATGACTGGGAATTGTCAAAAGCGTACATCGATGACAAGACAGAAGAAGGGAATCGCCAGGCCGATAGAACTGTACGTGGTCCTGAATCTCATCGTTATATCATTGTTCTGACGATTGGAAATCCAGGGGACATGGCAGTTCACATCGGTGCACGCTCTCGTAGATCACACGAAGATCATCAAGATCCCCGATGACCTCGAATCCTTCTTCCACGTCATGCTCTACTTCGCTATCCGCTTCCTCCCTCATAATTGCCCGCACGGCGCCGGCCAGCTGTTGTTCAGCTGCTTCGATGACTACAGTCCCGGCGAAGCGGGTTTCACTGCGGGTGCCGCGAAGTCTGCTGCAATGCACACTGGCGAGATCGACATCACTCTCATCACGCATGGCAAGAAAGACGCCTCGGGCAAGAATGTGGACGAGCGTCTCGAGTTCCACTGGCCGAGGAAGAAGAACGCTGACGGGACGGACGATGTGACACAACCTGCTAAGGAGCACCCCATCGATCCCATTATCACCGAGCTTCTCCGTTGGTTCAAGGCATTGTACGCGCAAGACAAGAAGCCGGACGAAGTCCTTCGTGACTCCAGCCACGGTGACGACGCCGATGAGGTTCTAGACAAGCCGGACACAGCATGGCTGGCAACGATCGCTGCCAAGCGATCTTCCAGCTCTACTTCCGTCGATCCGCATGCAGGGGAACCTACAGAAGCTCAAAAAGAAGAGTTGCGTAAGGTTGCTGAGAAGCTGGCCAGCCACGACGCCATGGAGGAGCTTCTGCTTCAATATATTGAGACCCGCTCATGGCCTGCTCGCGACAAGGGTGCCGACAAGAAACCCAAGGAAGGCTACAGTCCTCCAAGGGACAACATCGCTCTCACGTCAACGCAGGTTGGGTCGACAAAGCGAACGCTAGATGACGGAGAGGTCTCCACATCGAAGCGCATGCGGAGCAAGTCTTGATACTTCCGGAGAAGTCCTGTGCCGTCCTTCGTTCGCCATCACCATGTACGCTGCACACAGCATCCAGTCCCATCTTTCCGAAGTAGCGTCAATCTCGACCTTGCCATTGGTATCTTCTAGTCGTGTTTTGTGTCATTGATTCGGACCAACCCCTCAGAGATATATACCACCGCATTCCGCCCGTAGCACACGCCTCGATGCATGTTACTCTAATCCAGCATAACGTCCACTCTTGTTGACATTGCATACGGAACGTCCGTCTTGTCCAGACTCGCCGTACATGGCCATCTGACCCAAATGTTACTTCTGTCGACGCGCGTAAGTTTCATATACACTCAGACTTTTTGCTTGGGGGCGAATAGACGCGCATAGCTGGATCACAGATATTCCCTTCTAAGGCTCCGGGATGACCAGGGATGCCGTACTACAAGCTTTGCCTATTCAGCGACCGTGGAACGCAATTCCACTCGCCAACACTGAAGCCGTGGCTTGAACACTTGTATCGATTAGTTGTGGATCCGACAGCCCAAACCGCACTAACACTCCTCGGTAGCAAGGATAAAAAAGTCCCATGTGTACAGGCAGATCTGTACATCCTGTGAGCACAGTGACAGTCCATCAAATACTAGCCCGTTGGGCTGAAGTCGATACAAAATACGATGGGGCCTATTGAAGCGAAGCGATCTGTACGCGAAGACAGATAACCAAGTCAGCTGTATCTTTGCCAGTGACCAAGTAGAGCGAGCGGGACAGATGAGTACTCACGATCACGCGCAATGCGATTGTGCGCTCGGTACCCGCCATGTGGTACGTTGGGCCAGTCGTCTTCCGACTCCGAGTCCGAATCAACCCCACCGTGGCTACCAGCGCTATTGTCGTCCGAGTCCTCTTGCCAGTGTCCTCCCTGCTCTTCCTGTACCTCTTCCCCTTCCTCTGCATCCATGTACTCCACTCCTTCATCTTCATCGGCAGCATTCAATGTAACAGCCAAAGGTCCAGCGCCAGGGGTCTCAGTCAGAATGTCTTCAACCTGTGACCCACTCCCGGAAGCCACGACAACCTGATTAGTCTCTTCCGCAACCCCGTCTTCCACATCCCATCCCGCATCTACCTGCGTCGCAGCATCCACAGTTATGTTGGCGCCCGCGAGCAGCCCCTCGTCATCCTCACGCTCGTGTTCGTCGCCTGACGGCGTGTTTCCGCCAATCATCCCAAGCCGCCTGAAGAAGTCGATGTTATCGGGCTTGTACATTGCATCCCACACGAAGAACAGCTTCGTCTCCGTCATTTGCATGCACGTCACCTTCGCCAGTTGCCGCCGGTCGTGGTAGAACGGGAGGGAGACGAAAGTCATATACGGGAACGAGATCCCCGCGTCGATCGCGGACTGCGGTATACCGTGCACGCGTCTGCGGCCTGTCAGCACGAGGTCCTCGTCTATCAGCCCGTGCTTCAAGGGGTCGAGCGTCGCGGCGTACACCCCAGATGTCTGTGGTAAGCGCATTGTTAGAGGTCATGACAAGAAGCGCAAGCTGGCTGAAACGTACGGTGACAAGACCCAGGCGACCATGATCCGAGGCGAGGTATATGGAGAAGTGTTCGTCTGTGCCGCCGAGGCGCGGGATCGTCTTTCCGCTTTCGAGCGCCGCAGTCTGTAGCGGTATCTCGCCGCGAACGACGCGCATGAAGTCGCGGATGACGAAGACCCGGCTGTCGCTGAGATGTGCAGCGAGGTCCTTCCCGTCGTTCGCAACGTGCACTGTGAGGCAGTGGTGGGTTAGCCGAGTTCGATCCCTCGGCTGGCAGCCCTCGAACTCAAACAGCATGTGAAGAATGTCCTGCCCATACGATGCGCTGTGGCCGCACCAATAGGACCGCAGAGAGCACTCACCAGACGAAAACTCCGCATAGCTCGCCGTATACAACGCCATGCTCACCGTCGGCTCACAGGGAAGCCTGACCGCCTCTCCGGGACCGGCGACCTTCTGTCTCGCAACCGCAGGGTCGAACTGCACCGCGATTCTAACATCCGAATACACAAATTGGTAGCTGGGGATCTCCAATAACATATTCCCGTTGCTCCTGTCGAAAATCCTCAACGCCGACGTCGAGCACACGAAAACGTGGTCCGCCGAGAGCTCGACGTAGTTGATGTCGCCCTCGCCCGCGTTGCCTTGAACGTTGTCGAACTCCCGCTCGAGCCTCGTTGTCACGACGTTCCACACAAACGCACGCCGCAGGCCACATACAAGCAAGCACGGGTACACAAACCGGTACGCCCGCCCAAATTCGGCCGTTTCAATCAGCGCCCAAGGGCGGAAGTGGCCTTTGGGGACCTCATTGGGAGGTGAATCTAAGCCGGGAACAGGAGCGTACGCATGCGCCGCCGCGGCCGAGGCTTGGAGCTGGGAGTCGGTGGGTCTGGTAACGCGTGGGAGGGTGGACGTAGACTCGGTGGCGGGCCAGAGAGACGCGAGTCGCCAGACTTCTTTGGCGGCGCCGAGGCGATCGAAGATGAGGAACCCGTTCTCGTACTCGCAGTGTGCGTGCCGGCGCACGTACGACTGCGTGTCGTGTGATTCCGTTTAATGAGGACGCACATTCATGAGCAAATAAGGGGAAAGTTAAAAGAGAAGGGAGAGCGCACCGCGTCGAGTCTCCATAGGACCTCCGTCGTGTCGAGATCGAAGACAGTCAGTCCGCCGAACTCGTGCGTCGTGATCAGGATACCTTGTTCTTCGTCCACCTTTAGCCGGTGCACGTCGTACGGGTGGCGGCCGTAGAACTTTGTGCGCGCGTCCCTCACCCCGAGCCAGTTTCGCTGCAGCTCGAAGTACATCCGGCCTGTGTGCGCGTACGCCAGCCGTCAGCGTCTCACAACTCAACTACGTACGTAAAACAAACAAGACGCGGGTTCGAAAAAAAACATCGCTTACAATAATGGTACCAGTTCGGCGCATCCTGGAGAAACTTCAACCTCTGGTGCGCGCTCTTCGCATCCGAGAGAACGGTGTTGATCGAATCGACAAAATTGTGCAGCAGCGCGGCGTGGTGGTAGATCGTCGACTCGTGCTCGCGACAAAATGCGTCCCAGCCGCGCGACGCGAGCCGGAGGCTGCGTAGCGTTTGCACAGGGAGGAATGCGACGATGCGGAGCAAGAGCTCTGCAGGGAGAGAGTCCAGCGAGGGCATGCTCAAGGACCGCTCTGTTGAGGAGACGTCAGTACATGTGTTTGGTCGCAGAGAGTGAGGTATAAAACAGAAACGCAGCGTGAGGCGCGGGCTAGCACCACGCATTCACGTAACGCGACACTCGCTAACTTCACACATGGATACAGGTCTGCCGACCGGCCTGGCCGCAGTCGGGCACTATGCTCGCCTATGAGGCCACGTCCAATACCACCGATCTGAGTCCGCGCGCAAGCCAAAATTGTTCTGAGTGCCGCGCCACAGTAGGGGAAGACAGAAGATGATGGCGAGGCGCATCGTTGACATAGAAGCCGTGCCTTCCTGTGCCACTCCTGCAGTGGGCCGTAAAAAGCGCTCTCGGACTTTGACCGCGAGTGTAGCGTGTGACCTGCAGCGTGCCATCAGCATGCCAACAACTACCCTTTGCCACACGGGTTCCGATCGTAGGCGAATATCGTACTCCTTTCCAATCATTTGTGCACCCTCAGATGAGCATGCGCATGAGGCATCCACAGCCTCAACGCGTATGTGGACATGTCACTATGCAGACAAACAAAACGGAATGCGGCGCCCGTGTTAGAACAGGGTCAGCAGAGTTGCGTTAAGATCTTTGAGGTCGTGCGGCGAGGTGTGATCGACCGCAGCACCGCCATTGAAGGAAGTAGTGAGAAGGAATCAATGCCTGCTCTCTTCGAACAATTTGCATCCGGTCATCTCTCTGACCAAAGGCATGCCCGGAGACGCAATAGGGGTGCTCAATTATGGTGGCCACTGGCCACTGGTCGCGTTGAAGGGCAATTGAAATTTGATGGAGGCCAATGAGCTAGCCGAGACTCGCCGCTCAAGTCGTCTTCGACAGCTCTGCAACGATGCTGACACGTGTCCCCCCGCACGAGATCCTTTGAGTTTGGTGTCAATCGACGTGCATGGCTCTCGTCTTCAACATACTCGAAATTCACGCTTGTCGCTGTCTTGATACGAGCGGTAGACCCATAGAATGGGAAGGAACGCGAAGCCCGACGTCGCTCGCTTGCCAAATGCGGGACACTCGGCTACATAGTTCAACAGTCCCCATCAATTGCCTCTCAACGCGACCAGTGGCCAATGGCCACCATAGTTGAGCACCCCTAGTGGGCATCCTGAATTTCTGCGCCGGGGTGCTCGAGCGATCTGATCGCGTCCGAGACTGCGAAGGCTGGCAAGAACAATAGCCGGGAGACCAATACATGACTCGCGTTCTGCTCAGGCAGCCCCTCCGTGCAGACGGAGGGAGATACTGTGAGAGCTCACATCACGGTCAAGTACGAACGGAAGCGGGATAAATTCACCGGTTTGCATACCGAAAAACCATCTCGAAAAGAAAACATGCTCGTTTCGGTCAAAGAGGTGTCCAAGATGTGAATCCACTTCCACCGAGAGCCTTCGAGACTCCATTCGCTGGATGGTTCGCTCCCACATGTTTCAACTCCCAACCCATTGCAGTGTCATTTCGCTCTTTGAAAGGAGGAAAGTGTCTGCCTGGGCACCTCACTCGCGATCGAAGGCTGCGCTGACTCAAGGCATGGAGACCTGATTGGACTGGCGTCAGGCTACTGCCGGACCTCTCACACAAGTCCTAGCAGGAGGTGGATGGCCTGATCTCGCAGAATGATATTCTCCATGGAATTCTGGCCCCGTCAGCGGTGTATCGTCGCGGGGATCGCGTTCATTGAATGAGGGAAAGCTTAGCCTTGATCGAGGGAAGTGAGCAGCGAGATGTCGTCGCGGAACGCTCGGGTCACGTTCTTGGCCGTACTTCTCGTATAGGCGGCCAAGATGTTCTGCGGAGAACAGGGACGGGACAGCCTCGCAATCAGACGCACCTCCGACGCGGTTCTCCATGTCCCGGCGTGTAGCTTTGAGAGAGACACACGCGGAGGACGCTGTGTGCGAGGATGGCGCACTGGCAGGAATTGCTGAGCATCCTCTGGTGCCTAGCATGCGTGATAGCAGCCCTTAGATCGACAATCGCACTGCCGCAAAAAATACAAGAAATAGAACATGAGAAGGAGATGATACTCACCAACGTTGGGATATGCAGCGGCGACACAGATGAGGGGACGGTACTGGCGTAGGCCACATCTCGATCGGGATCGACCCCTTTGTGGCCCTCCCGGCATGCACGTGGTATAGTCACGTGGTATCGGGCGTCTTGTTCGAGGCCAACGTCTCTGGGCGCTGTCCAGCGACGCTCACCGGTAGTCGTCGGCGACACTAGTGCGTTCTCCCGTCTCTCCTCTTGCCACAATGTCCTCCCAGCTTCACGGTCTCGAACCGAGAATACGTGCCATCCTCACCGCGCCCGGAACAGACCTCGCGACCATTAGCGCAAAACGCGTCCGCAAGCAGCTCGTCCAGGATGATCCCTCCCTCTCCCACTTTGTCAAGGAGCAGAAGGACGAGATAGAGGACTTGATTGCTCAGGTGTACGAGCAGATATGTGAAGACGGCAATGGGGACGATGACGAGGTAGAGAGCAGCACGGTGTCCAAGCGCAAACGCGAGGACGCGTCGGATGACGAGCGCACGGCCGCCCCGAAGAAGACCAAGAAGACGAAGACGAAGCAGCAGAAGACGGACGAGGAGATCGCGCGCCAGCTGCAGAGCGAGATCAATGGCCGCGGCCGCAGCTCGCGCGCCGGAGCGTCGTCTACAAAGAAAGCCAATGGCACGAAACGCGGCAAGAAGAAGAGCGCAGACACCGTCGGTTCGGACGGCGAGGAGGCCGAGGGCGAGGGCAAGAAGAAACGTGGCGGTGGCGGGTTCAAGAAGGAGTACATGCTCAGGTACGTCTCTGTCTTTCCCCTTCCCCACGGCCTCCGAACTCCGAATGCTTTTATGTTCTCCTCCTGGCTAATTTGCGTGACTGTACCCATGTCCTTCTTTGCCCGCAACATAACCGCTAACCCCGAGTGTGCCCTCCCTACAGCGAGCCGCTTGCCGCTCTCCTAAGTGTCGATAAGCTATCCCGTCCACAAACCGTCAAGCAGCTCTGGACATACATCAAGGCGAACAACATGCAGAACCCCGAGAACAAAAAGGAGATCATCTGCGACGACCGCTTCCGGGCGATATTCAAGTGTGACCGTATTGATATGTTCAAGATGAACAAGGAGCTTGGCCAGTGCGTAGTTCGTTTTGCGTGTGTTGATAGCACTTCCGCTTAGGACGCATCCTACAGGCATCTGTACGAGCCACCTGCGGTGGCGGAGTAGCATCGTTCGGTACGAGCGGGGTCGAGGACGTAGGAGGGGCGGTCCGTCTTGACCTCTATCCATGTCCTCCTGCTACGTTCCCGGCCGCGCCAAATCATGCGTTGTCCACCCGCACGCAAACCATACACTGGCGTCTCCTCGTCACGCACTACTTTTCCAGGATGACATCGACTAGAGCACCCGGGCCACACACAAATACAGAGGGAACTGGATGTGGGACTGCATAAAGGAGGGGGGTCTCGTCTATATCATACAAATCTTCTACGCGACGCGTACGTGTGTGTATTCTACAACGCCTCCTTACTGTATATAGTACACCTTCGATATCATACTCCAGGAACATGATGACGCGCTCCTACAGCACATGCGTGCGTGCTCCTTGCTATCCCTCCCTGTCTTTCACGTCTGCTTTTTGTAAGTATGAAAGTAGGGCTGCTTCGGAGGTGACGTTCACTTCACCCCCTGCTGCTGCGGCTATCTTGTGGACGAGCCTTGCATCAACCGCATTCCTCTTATGCTATTTGTATTGTCTGTCAGCGCCCACACAACCCTGAGCTGTCGTGCGCCCTCACCAGCCAGATCTTCCAAGCCGCAAAACGGACCGCGTGCGCGTGAGCCGCCACACTTTCGTGGGTCGCCCCCGTTGATGCGAGGTGGACCCCAATCAGCTCCCAGACCTCCTTTTCGCCACGCTCTTCGCAAGAGCCGAAAGGGAGGCTCACGGAGACGGCCCCGCGGAGGTAGAGCCAGAGCGACTCGTGCCCAGGAAACGCCTTCACAAGCTCCAGCGCATGCGCGTACACCTCCGCGGAAGCGGCAGATGACCGCCCTAACGCTGCGTCCACACGACAGCCGCGAACGAGGCCCTCGAGCCGGCAGCAGTACTGCATCGCAGAATAGTCCGAGACGTGCCGCTCGATCCACTCTCGTACGCGCTCGCGCTCTTCGCTCAGCACCTCGACGAGCTCTTGGGGGGGAGGCTCAGAGTGAGAGGCGCGCTGGAAGTGGAGGAGCGCGACGAGGGCCTCCGCGCAGAGGAACCGGTGCGCCCACGCGTGGTAGTTGCGCGGGTAAGCCTCGCACGCGCGCTCGACGACGCTGAACTCCCTCTGGAACGCGGGTGCGTCGAGGGCGAGCCCGAAGAGTGTGTCGACGCCGTCGCCTTGGCTTTGGGAGAGTGGTTCTACGTCTGCGGAGGGCCGCGGGGCGAGAGGTGCTAGAGGGTAGATGTGCCGGAGGAGCCAGCGCCGGTGGGCCCAGAGTACGGACTGCTTCGCGCCCTCGCGCATCATCAGGAGCGCATCCGTGAAGCGCAGCTCGTGCGACGCTGACAACGACGAGCCGGCGAGGACGAGCCGTTTGCGGGCGTTGAGCGCGGTCTGGTGCGCGGGGTTGACCAGGAGGAGAACGGCGGTAGATGTAAGCACCTCGGACGCCACGTCGGGCCCATCGCGGAGGCGGGCGGGGCGGAAACGCACCACGGCCTGAAGGTAGGCTTTGTATGCGACTTTATGAGGGACGCCGAGGTTGTCGTCGATGAAGAGAAACGGCGCGTGCGTCGCGGGAGCGGACAAGAGCCATTCTGAGCCGTCGCCTGGGAGAAGTTCAATGGAGATCCTACAAGGTGGATGGACGTTAATTTCCATATCGGTGTTCAGGGTGTGATTGTGCAGCCACATACTCACGGAGGGATGTTGAGCAATTGACCTAGCTTAGAGCTCAGTTGTATGCTCTCATCCATTATGGCTGTTCTAGTTCAAGGGACTATCTTGCTTGCACAGCATTCTACCTAGAATTCACGTCTGCGTATCCTATCTGACATGCGCTATACATCAATACCAACCTTGTCAGCGTTTGTGCACTTGGTGTGCTTGCGAGCAAGGTCAGCCCAAAGCATTATCAGCGGAATATCATGAAATATTCCCGAGCAGCGAGATAGTATGTTACACATCGTTCCGGTCCTCACTACCGCAAAATCGCCCAATCATCCCTCGCGGGATCCCCAGGCGGCGGGAACACGCCATTCGCTCCTTGAACCTGCTGCTGATCTGGCTGGCCTCCACCCCCTTGCCGTCTCCGTTCCTCCTCCTCTCTCCTGATCCGGTCCACCCACCGCCCGCGCACATACAGCAACACGGACACCATCAAGCACAGTACGACCAACAACATCGTCTCTGCGAACTCGTCTACGTCCTCCTCTTCGCGGTACCGCTGGCCCCGTATCGCCGCGTCGAAGTAGTCCTCGGGCCCGAAGTCGCCGCCGCCCTCGCGGTCCCGCTCAGCAGCCTCTGCCTGACGCCGCTCTCGCGCCCACTGCACGGGATCCTCTTCTTCTCGCGCGGCGCGCCGGTCGCGGTCGTCGTGCTGCCCGCGCTTGCGTCTGTTGAACTCGTCCCGGGCTTTGCCCATGTACCACGCGCCATCATCGGCAAACTCGTCGACTTCATCGAGCGAAGGCTGCTTAGGGCCTTGATCGGCATCGCCTTCGATCTCGGGTTGGTCGTAGTAGGATCGTGCTGCTGCGAAGGCGATGAGCTAGATGGACACATTATAGGCGTAGGGCGACCTACCGTTGTCTTCGTCGCTATCCCAGATAGTGAGGCCATTCTTGCCACCCATGACAGTGTGCCAGATGCTGCGTGCGTGGAGCTTCAAGAGGGACAGGAGAACAGGAAGGTATGCTTCGCTATTGGTTTCATACGCGAGGTCGTAATGCCGCTTCGCGAGGTGGAAGTCCTACCGTCCATTCCTCGCATCAGCGATACCGCCGTGTCGACGAGAGCGAGCAGCTCACCTGAGGCACCCCAATACCATTCTCGTACATCCACCCCAAGTTCCACATCGCGAGGGCGCTCATCTGGGTGTCCGCCGCAGACTGGTAGTATCCGGCAGCCTTCTCCCATCGTACGGACTCCGACTCATCCGGTACGCCCAGCCCGTGATAGTAGTAGTCTCCGACCTTCACCAGAGCGTCGACGTTCCGTTGTGCAGCGGACCGGATCCATTGCGTCAGTGCCAGCCGAGCAGTATCATTTGAGGGAGACTGAGGGGCAAAGCGAGTGAAGCGCAGTATACTCTTGTCTGTACGGCACCGTGTCAGCGTTATGTACTGACACAGGTGGGTGATGACAGACGCACCCTGGTCCAGAACGTAAGCCAAGTTATTCTGTGCAACTTCATACCCGCGCTCGGCGGCAATCCACCACCTGAGCATTGCCATCTCGCTGCCCCTCTCCGTACCCAAGCTCCACGCATAGTCCGCGTCCCGTAGCAGGTCTTCTTCCCATGTACCACGCTCCGCGACAAGCTTGTAGAACGACACTGCAATGGCGCACGAACTGCCCGCGATCTCAGGGGGAAGCATTGTGCTCCGCGCTTGCCTGCCTTGGATATCAGCAAGGTAATAGTACGCCTCAAACGGAGAACCTTGACGGAGTGCCGTCTCAAAGTATGCCGTCGCGAGCTTCAGGTCGCCGCGCTCTGCATCCGAGTTAGTCCACGGCTGTCTGGTCATGCCCTGACTTCACTCACCATAATGGTATTTGCCGATGTTGACCTGGGCCTCCGCGAGCTCCTGCGTCGCGGCGGCGGCGAAGTGCGCCATCGCCTTCTTCACATCCTTCTTGCCATCTACTAGCCCATCACGCCAAATGATGCCCAGCCCGTTGTGCGACTCCTTCTCGCCGTAGTCCGCCCCTCGCTCAAACCACATCTTCGCGAGTACCGGATCCTGCTTCACACCTTCCCCGCGAAGATACATCCGTCCGAGGTAGCCGGCTGCGAGTGCGGCGTACCCGCTTTGCACGGGGGTCTCTTCCTTGGATGGCCGGTCGGGTTGTCGAGGATTCGCAGGGTCGCGCGGCCAGACCTGCCTGGCGATCCGGAGGAAGTAGTAGCGTGCGCGGTGAAAGTCACGAGGGACGATGCTCGCGCCGTCACCGCCAGATGCTGCGCCGCCGGGCGCACCGTAGATGCTGCCTTGATAGTAGATCTTGCCCAGTCGGTACGCAAAGTCGGTCTCCCCACGGTCCGCGTTGAACTAGGGTGTGTTAGTAAGGCTCATATCCTGCGTCAGGTGCGGACGTACAAGATAGTATTCCAGGAGGTCGTCCCATGTCTCTCCCGCAGCACGAGCATTTGCAGTCTTGATCACCGCACGCCCTGCGTTCAAGCCAGTAGACGCAACACTTGCACCCGGACCATAAACTCCTCCGTCAAGGTCTGACAATCGTGGTGGCTGTAGGGGGAGTGTACGTCCGCCAGGAGGACCGGATAGGAACTTGGCCATAGCTACGGGCACATCAGCACGAACCAATGGCCACCTACGGACAAGGCCTTCGCCCACCTTGTTCTGCCGCGTCCTCATACCAATCCAATGCCGCCATGCAATTTTCGGCGACACCAATTCCTGACCAGTACCGGTAGCCGAGCGCCATCTGTGCGCCCTTGTGGTTCCCATGTGCGGCGAATGTCAGGTAAAGTTGCGCCATCGCCTGGTCGACAGGTACCACGCTGTGGTATCCAGTGCTGTGGAAGAAACCGACCAAAGCTTGTGACGAAGCATTGCCAGTCACGTCTGCATGCGTTTGGAAGGACTCGTAGGCGGCGGTAGGATTTGAGGGGAAGTACGAATTCGGAGGGAACTGAACAAGGGGGCGTTAGGATGCAGATCATGGGGAAAACAAGGGGGAAACGTGAATTTCTGCGCACGGGACCCGTGCAGTCTGACCGCGACTGCGACCATCGGCGCCACAGTAGCCGGGGAGGAAATGCGAATTCTCGCGGTCGCGGTCGTCCGTCTCCCCCGTGAAACGGCTGTGTGCAAAAAGGGATAGAGGAGACTCAGCCCGCCCATCGGTCTCATGTTGGAGAATCTGCAGCAGTTCTACACGAGTGCCTACAGGAAACCGTGCGCTCTAACCGCGACTGCGACCGTGTAGTGACCACGGTCGGCGCCACAGTAACCGGAAACGAGAAATGGAACATTCGCGTACGTCGCGGTGGCGATCGTCCGTATTCCCCGGGAAACAGTCCTTTGCAAAAAGGGATAGAGGGAGTTCAGCCCGCCCATCGGTCTTCGTGTTTCAAGTACTGCAGCATTTCTACACGAGTGCCTAGAGGACTTGCGTAGATGTAGGATGTCCTGACAACACGAGTAGAGCATATTTGCCAGAGCCAAAGACATGAAAACCTGCACAACGCAACCTGCAGATAGTATACACATCATACCCACTGGCTTCAGACTAAGGGCACAAATCGATGGGCGATTATGAAGGGGTGCCAGCACCCTCGCGCCATACTGTACGTCGTACGCTGATGGCAAGGAGGCGCCACGCACTCTACATTATTGGTGAAGAGCAAGCGCTGCTTTGTATGAGTTCAATGAAGCTCTGAACAGGATAGCCTAGGCTGTGGAAAAGATGCTCTACTGCGACGACCAGTTTGCTGGGAAGACCGTGCGGGCGACCGGGGGCGCATGCGCGAGGAATGACACGTACCAAAGAGACCTGCCCAAGGGTGTAGAGGGCATCGGTATGCCCAAGCTCCGCCGCGTGTTGCAGCAGGTCAATGACCTTCACTGCCCTGCCCTTGAGTTCTTCGTCTTTCTTCCTCCCATTCGTGAGCTCGCGACCGAGCAAGTCCGTCACGACACTAGGCAGCCAAGAGTGATTGCGGAGCTTGGCCAATATTCGGAGCGCGCTGGCAATAGGTCCCTGGCCTTGCATGCTCGGCAAGAATGAGGAGAGGGGGACACTGGTGGAATGGTGCGCGGGTTCTTCTGACTGCATGGGAGGGAGTGCGGTCAGGGTGGCAAGCGTGGAGATGGCCTGCTTGTAAGCTCTAGATGCTGCATCATCAGAATTAGGGCCATGTTACGCGTGATCAAGGCAAGGAGATACCTTCTACGGCTGGGTCAATGACCTCGACGTCCTCCCCATGTTTCCTGGGTGTGTCCTACGCTCGGGATTAGCAACCATGTCACCAGTTCATCGGCCTTCTACTCACGTTCGCGCTGGCAAGAGCCGCAAATGCGACGACACAAAAGGCCGCCAGGCTCGCCTTACGAGACTTTCTCTTCGTGTATCCCATGTCCAGGGAGATGGAGAGTATAGGGTATGGCGGAGAGCTGGGCTGGGCAGGCGCGCAGCGTCACGCTTGGCCACGTCGTCTGACCCGACATCCGAAATTGGGACCCTAACCCTGTACCAGGGTTTGAGACTACAACCTCAGTAATTACGAGTTATTGATCCGTCCTGATTGCTGTTTAACGAAGGCTATTGCTAGGCTATTACGTCAAGCTCAGGATAATCTAAGCGAGGCCGTAAAGATCAGCCCTGCATTCACATGTGGGGTACCCAGACAGTGCTAGACCTTCCTTGTTACTCTGCCTCGACCTCCCCGTCCTTGCCAACCAGCGTTCCAGTGATACTGTCAAGTATAGCCAACAGCAAAGTCGCAAGCCGCTCGGGTTCTCAGTAGAAGTTGCAGTAGGACCTTCTCGGGTATGGCTGTGAGTACGCTTTGACGGCAGCTCTCGTTGGAATACTGACGACGTACTAGACTTATGATCACGCTTTAGAGCAAGTGCACGAAGCATACCGCCGCCTCACCCATGAACAACTTGTCCTCTTCCTCAAAGTCCGGCAGCTGCCTACAACCGGCACAGATGCCGAGCTGGCATCGCGCCTTGCCCAGTTCGACGTGCACAACTACCACTTCCCCTCGAAGGATGGTGCTGGCGACCCTGGTGGCTCCGGAGGACATCAGGAGGCCCAGCGGCCTCGCGCTCGGCAGGTTCTCGCCCCTGATCTCCCCGTTGAGGTTCTGGCCGAAATCATGGACCATGTCGGCGACTGGGAGCTCGCTAAAGCCGTCGGTGTGCCTACCTCTCTCCCGCAACCTCCGCCATGGACGCGCGCAAATGCATGCGACCATGCGATAGTGGCTGGCTTCATTCCTCTCATCCGGGCTTCTGACCCCATCACAACCAGACCGACGCGCGTCGGCGCGCTGCTCGCTGTGCGCTTCAGTTACGTGAATGTCCTGGAGTACTTCTTCTCCTACCACCGACAAATCTTCCTTTCCATGTACAAGGACGACCTCCTTCCCATCACCGCGTCCCTCCATGGGCGAACCGCAGTCCTCTCCTGGTGGAAACACGCACACGACCTACATCCTGACGTCATCCCCCTCCCAAGACCTCAGTCTGTGGCGGAAGCTATAGATGGCGCGTCGCGTAACGGACAAGTGGCGTCATTAGACTGGTGGCTACACTCGGGAATCCCGCTCGAGTATACCGAAGCCGCACTTGAAAGCGCCTCCTCAAAAAATCGCATTGCGGTCCTCGACTGGTGGAAAGACAAATCGACGGATCCGGTTTGGAAGCTCCCACTCAAGATTGGGCGCGTCATGGACATGGCGAGCACCGCGGGACATGTGGAGGTGCTCGAGTGGTGGGCAAGTTCGCAACTCGAGCCGAAGTACGATCGGCAGGCTCTCTATCATGCCTCTTGTCACGGAAAGGTCGAAGTTTTGCAATGGTGGCTGGGGAGTGGACTGCAGATGATTTTTGACCAGGAGGCCTTGACCGGTGCGTCGCGACATAACCGGCCGGAGGTGCTGGAATGGTGGGACAAGAGCGGCCTCCCCATTCAGTATCGCATGTGTGATATTGAAGAGGCGCTGGAGGACGCAATTGGTGGAGGAGAGGCGGCGCGCGAATGGTGGAGGAAAAAGGGGATCGACTTCAATACGAACGACAAGGAGTGGTCGAAGCTGCAGAATCTGAACTGACGGGCTTCTCATGTCTGTACACGTACCTCATCTGCCTTGTATCGATATTTTCGCTGACATGCCATTCCGCCTGTTACAGTCGTGCTACTCGCATCGTACTTGTTCGCAGTATTCGCAACTTAGTAGAGCATTTGTTCATGTTCAACATCTGCTGTTTACAGTTTCCCTTCATATACGTGGACGATCATATCTTCCTAGTATACTCATGCTCGTAGGTGCTTCTCAGTGCAGCAGATCGTCAGGCTTGTTTCATCGTTCGGTGACGAGCCCTGAGTCGCAACTAGAGCACTATTTGGAGAGATCGCCCGATGCTGGCCATCTTCTCAGTTCTTTCAGCATTGTATCGGCCATTTCGGCGAGATGACCGCCCCAGTTATTCGCGCAGCGTCCCATTCTTCACTGAATCCACGGATGCAGGCACGAATGTCATTTTGACTTCGACAATGGGATCGCGTTCGTGTTCGGCAACTCCGATGCAGAGCTCAACTAGAATACAAGGGGTGCTCCGACGGATAGGCCAGGGGTAGGGCAGATCGTGGACAAATATCTAAGGTATTCGGGACGTTGCGTGGTTTACGAGACCGTAGAGCCTGACTTATAAGATACGTGTGCACGGGTCGTAAGCGTAACCCGCAGGTGTGACGGGATTGGGCAAGAAAGCAACAGGAAGATGGAAATAACCTGCACAAAAATATGCAACTAGCGGTGAATGGGAGGAGCGAGGTCCGGCGAATAGGGACGGACCACGGCCGACAAACAGATCTGATTCGCACGCCAAGTCCTAAGTATACCGTGTACGCTGGGAGTTCCCCGCTGCGCCGGTTGAGGAGGTGCGACAGACGGCCCGGCTATGACCGCTCAGAAGTCCCACAGGGTGCCCTGGGAGGGGGGAAATATTGTGTGAGAGGCACATCCTTGTCTGCGTGGACAGTGAATGAGATACTACCCACCATTGCTGGGATTCCCGCCGCCTTGCAACCTTCCATGATCTCCTTGTTTCCCTGCCAATTGGACGTGATGAACACAACTTCTGCGCCCCAGGACTTGTACGCGTCTTTGATCAGCTGCATCACGTCTGGCCGTCCCCCTGTGAGAAGACAAGCCAGGTGAGCTTGCTAATGGAGTGAGCAGGAGCGGGGATAGATGGCCGACGCACCTCGAGCCCTGGAATCCCACAGGCACATCCGCTCCGGCTCGATATGCTTGTGGATGAGGCCGGAGATGGTGGGACCGAAGGTCTTCTCCTGGTCCGATCCGATCCAGATGAGGTACCTGAGGAAGACACCGCAGTCAGCGTCAGAGTTAACGTTTCGCCGCCGAGGGTGACAGCGTATCGGAGGACAGAAGCATCGGCGCGACTGCTTCGCCGATTGCTCAGGAGGGAAGCACTCACCAATCAGGATTCTGGGAGATGATGAGTCACATCAGCCGCTTTCTATTGAACAGAATATGCGGCAGACTGTACCTGGAGGCAAGTTGAGAGCGCGGCTCCGAGACCTGTTCCAGTGCAGACACGGATCCCCCGCTTGTACAGCGTGGACGTATGGGATACTCCAGCAAACTGTGGACGCACGCGCATCAGCGAGACAACTCATATTGTTGTACTGGACGCCAAGAACTCTTACCTTTAGCTGGCGCGTCCAGAGGTGCGTGGGAGGATCATTCACCAGCGACCTCGTGAAGTCACCTTGGACGCCACAGATGAGGTAGTGGTACTTGGCGTGTGTCCCTTCCCTGAAATCGCATCGGCAGCCGCTTGAGCCAATGGAAACATAGACGGGCAGGATGACGACTCACGAGATGATCCCGAAGGCATGGTACTCCATGACCGAGGAGCGCGATACCCGGGAGATGAGCCCTTGCTGCATACCTCTCTCGAAGCGTAGGATCGCCACCTTCGGAGACGGCTGCAAAAGGCGGAGCCAAGAAGGTCAGGCTCTGAGACGCTATACTGCTTGCGTCCGTGTGTACTCACCACTTCGATATCAACTTTGACTTCCCGCACGGTGAACCACGGGATGAGGATGCTTTATTGTTGGATGCATTTGTCAGCGTCAGGATTGGCCATTCCAAATTGGACGACGGGGAGCTACGCACAATACCGTCATGCCGAACGCGTACCAGAAATCTTGTTGGCGAATGACACGAACGCCATCCGGGTTCCAGGAGTGCGTGTCGAGGTCATAGCTGTCTCCGAGCACGACGAACACCCACGCTAAGATAGCACCACGCGTTCGTCAGCATCTCAACGTCAAATAGGACCCGGAAATGGAGCATGAGGAGCAGAGATGGGCTAGCGCGGGTCTCTGTAGCGGGGGGCCGAGCACACTGTGTGACCAACCCGCCCTGCCGGATATGGAGCGCCAAGAAACAAATACCTACTTGAGAGAAGGCCAAGCCTGCGGGCCAAGTGTGTGAGTATGCAGGCGTCTAACTCGACAGATAGGGAAGACAGTACTCACCAGCCGATGAACCGATGGTGCCGCTCAAAGACGCTGAAGGAGTGCGTGAGAAGCGTGGAAGAGAAGGAGCGGAGATGGCAGTCCACGTACTTGTGGTGTGTATTCCGGACCCAAGGGAACGCGCTCAGGATGCTGATCGAGACAGCGAGGTTGGTGATCACGCCCATTATCAGGACGGCGTCGTGGTTGTCCTTGTGGTCGATGAAGATGAGCGTTACACGGAATATGAGCCAGGCAAATCCAGAGCTTGCGCAGCCTGAGTGAATGCCGCCTAGATGCTGGAGTACTGATGTGCAGCCTAACCTCCACCATAGGGGTGTCCACTTGAACACGCCGTTGTTAGTCAGACAGGGCACTTGCAAGGTATGACACTTACCTTAGCGAAAGCTTTGTTGACGAATAAATACGACAGTCTCCCAAAGAGCTCGTTCCGCATAAGGATGGCGAACAGCAGATTACCGAGCACGAAAGCACCAGTGTATCGCCGGGGATAAGTCCAGATGTTGAGAGCGGCAAGGAACAGCCCAACGCCGTTCAATGTCACGACAAAAATAAAGAACTTGCTGTGAAAACGTCAGCGTTGTCTACCCCGGGTCCCGTCTTCGACCTACCGGTAGGTGGTGAACCAAAGCGAGAAGCGAACCCATCCGCTCACTCTTCGTCTTGGCTTGTTGGAGGCGGCGGCATCCTTCTTCGCCTTCGCAAGTGCGAACTCTGGTCTTTCATCCTTCCCTGATTGAGCGGCGAGACCGACGGCAGCATCTTGAATGACCGCCTTGGACGAAACAGGAAGCACCGGTAGCGGTGTGAGGGTGTCCAAGACCGCCTTCTCGGGGTCGTCGATGAACTCGGGCTGAGGCATGATCGTATCGGGTAAGCGTTGTATGAGATGCTAGCCTAACGTGAGCGGAGGCGGGCTGGTATCAACGCAGGATGCGGGGGAGGGGAGATCGAATGATAAGAAAGAATGGGGAATGGTGTCGGGGAAGTATTTAGAAAGGCTTGCGAGCCGAAAGGCCAGGGTGGGTGAATTGAGATGATCTCAGCGAGGGCGCAGCCATGACTCCAGAGAAAGCCCGAAGTCTTTTAACTGCGGGGAGAATCCGAGGTGGACGCGAATACATTCTCCGGGAAACCGGGAAGGGTATGGGAAGGCCGTTGACCTTGACAAGAATGGGACCCCATCATGTCAGAGACAAGTTGTGCGATTTCACACAGCTTATCGCGTGCGCTACTGGCGGAATCAGCATGAGAGGAATATAGTGGAAGGCCAACCACCGTGTACCAGCCGGTACTTTTGGAATGCGCGCCAACAGTGACGGATCTCAGATATGCCGCATGCCGATGCCTGGCAGCGACATCGACGCGACCTGAGCAGGTTTACCAGCATCTTCGTCCTCGACCCTTCTGCACTACTCATCGCGGTATGACCCAGGAGAATCGATCACCAGTCGCATGGCGGATGCCAGGCGGTATGCAGGGAGTGGCCTGGCCCGCTGAAACGTGGATATCCTCACGCAGCCCATGAAAGATGGCTCACTGCACACCAGCACCGGGAAGCGTTGTGAAAGCGTGCGTGCTAGTCCTAGCGCAAGTCTAGGCCATGTCATCTCGCTTCAATGGGCAGGTTTCCGTACTGTCTTTGGCGCATTTGTCTGTCTTCAATGCGTAGGTCGCCCCCAGATGATCCGACGGACTTCAGAACGCACTGCCTTCGCCTCTATGGCTGTCGCAAGACGGAAGGTGCGCCTCTTTCATGCATTCGCATCGTTGGTGCGGGCGGAGCCGCCCCTTCTGCGCGTTTTCCCACATCTCCCCACCTTTTCTCACACTGGGTATGAAGCGGAGCAGCCGTGAGTCACTGGTGGGTGACAGTGTGAACCTTCTTTCGTCCAATACGACAACTGTCCCACGGAGCCGGGGCGCGACCAGTGCTCTGCCTCCGTCTGCCGTCGACCGTGCCCTGATGCTTCACATGCAGCGCGTACCATGGTACGCGCATCCTCGCATGCTTTCGGTGCTTACAACGGCTCTCAGACGAGCTTCCAGATTTCGACCTACACCGACGTTCTGGATTGATATCTGCGGGAAGCGTGTTGTCTCATATGTCAACTACAGCCCTTACGCAGCCGCAGAATGTCGAAGAGGCGCGAAGTAAGATTGCCAAGGCTTTCCGTATGCTTTCATGCTTGCCTCCCATAGCATTCACATTGGTCCCCTCTTGATCTTCGTCACGCAGGCTGCAGATGCTCCTCTGCTCACCGGTTGCGCTGCCGGCAGGTTTTCCCGCTTAAGTACGCTTTCAAGCGTCTGGGCGAGACGATGTCCTTGGAATGGCTGCACATGTGACACATTATCCAGACCCAAAACTACCGCGACTTCACCTTTCCCAAGAATGCTAAGCCCTCAGTGGCCCGAGAAATCCCCCCTGCCAGGAATTCGAGCCTTCCAGGCGTAGTATAGACCGTTCTCGTCAACACATATTCTTGGTGCGCATGTTGTCTGACCCGTGATTATCTCTTTTCAGATGCGCTTCATGCACCGATTGAGCGACGTGCGGGGTGGAAGCATTGGTCGCTGTAGTTCCGACGAATAGTCTCCATCGAGCTTAGGAGGAGTCTTGTCACTACAAGGTCTCATTATATGAATTATGACTGGTATCTTCGACCTTCCAATCGCGATGATATCGGATGGCTAGCCCACTCCAGAATCCTCCAGGGTTGAGAGCTGCGTCACGGGGGGGTTGATGTCCGCCCTTCCATGTTTTGGGGACAACCTATCAGCCTAACTGCGCACAGATTCCGTCCATCCAAATCATTCTGAATCCAGGTCTTTGGCTGCACCAACAATCTCCACGACTCCAATTCACCAAAAGAACACGCCCGAACATGAAAACGTATTCATCCCTGCGGGTATCAGTCGCGCCGCACGATTGCGAGCACTGGGACGTCTTGTCGCAGGCTATGGCCCTTTCACGACTCTCGGTTATCTCGTAAACCTCGGAAGCAAGACGGTCGAGCTTCCAGGTACAATCTTGACCTGAGATAGACTCAGGAGATCGAGACTTGTCCACTGCGCTCACCCCCCGCGCTGATCATCACGGTAGTCTAAAAGTTTGGGGATTCGTAGAATGAGCCCGCGAGCAGACCACGAGTCTCCCATTCTCGATATAAACGCCACGCCACGGGGTAGTATTGTCCAAGGCATTCGCTACGAGCTAGTTGCAGACTCATGCCAGGAATATGTATGTTGCGATACAAGAACGGGGACACAGAGCATGTCGAGAAACCACATCTGTGGGACTGTCCATAAGTCTCTGACTCCAGGCTGTGAATATGCGAGCAGGCTCAATCTCGGGACGATTTCAGTACTAATCAATGATGATCTATGACGACGAGCGAAGCTCGGGGAAATAGAGTGGACACCGGGCTGCATCATTCATCGCACACATTGAGCCCAGGCACTGACGAAGCTCATCGCTGCTTTCCGGGATTGTCCCGACCAGTGCGTCGCGGACAGTGCTAGCAGGCCAATACCGCGTCCGTTCAAGATGAGCAGGTCACAAATATAGTCATACGTACGGATCTGGAAAGTATAGGATACCTATAGACATCCGCATCGGAGAGGCGCAGCAAAATCAATATCTTGACAATGGTGTTGAGTGGGTATTCCGAATGGCGCTTCGAAGTATATCCTTCGGTCAGGACGGCCACGATATTATCATCATACCGAGACCAATTCCCAATCACGGTAGAGCGTATTCCTGTGTTCATGGAGCATGAATATGACAGCTCATCGATTATAATCAGATGGCATACCCTCACCTTCCCTTCCTACCTCATCGTCTCAACCCAATTCACGCGCAGCTTGGACTTGATGAACACCTCGATCCACGTGCTCCTGGGCGGTCAAGATGAAGAACTTCACGGGAGAGGCTGGCTCTGACCCGCGAAGATACGCTCCTCCCATGAGAGACGCGTCCGTTGTTGCATCCGTTCGCCAGAACAGCAACCTGGTTTGGGGATTGAGGGGAGAGCAGGTTATCACCATCTCCGTAGAGTAGTACCGTAACCGCTTGACTTCGACTTGCCATTTCACGATTTCTTCTGCGTCATGTACGAATGTGCTGAGAACAGGGAAGAGTATGCCGTGGTAAGCGGCGGCGATAGTCGCCAATGTGCGATCCGTAGATACTCCTGACACGACCCGAATGTACAGTGACGGACGGTCATAAGAACAGACTGACAATGTAAGAGATAGCTCCATCCGATGACGGCACCCAAGAGCTGACACGCGATCGATCCCAGGAGTAGAGAGGCCGAATACGTGTTCACCGAGACACGAGATGGCTACTACGTTCAACCATAGCTAAGTCAGAAAGCGGAACTGATCCGATGTCACAACGGTAAGGAGCTCTCCAGACTTAGGGAAGGGTATACGAGGATAGGGCCGTCCGAAACGTACTTGTCAGAACAACAACTGGACAGGGCCATGGAGCAGACAGAAGAGACAAGGTGTCTAATACCGGCGACCTTGCTCTACGACAGGTGCCAAGCTTGGCGGCAAGAATAGATTCTCCCGATACCACTTCAGTTCTGAGCATCATAGAGATGAGGTACATTACACCGTCAATCACGTTGACATCACGTACCCCTGATAGACCCTTGGATATCGTCGAGAGCTCTGCGGAAAAATGAGGAGCTGCTTGTGGAGGAAGAGGAGAAGGCTCGCCTGTGAGCAGGCTCTTTTGGGACCTGCGTCTTCGATGTCCTATACCACCGCCGCGCGAGTTCCTACAAAGCATGAGCGATGTCCAATGGTATGGTAAAACGTATGACCTCACTTTGATGGACGATACATCTTGTGTGGAGGGTCACGTGAGTGCAGTCCTCTACGTAGACCCGATGCAACTCTCACCGACTATGCGATAATGCAGCCAGTCAACAATTTCTGGCATTTCCTCAACGAGGAATGCCCTGTCCATATGAACGGAATTTCCGGCGAGTACGCCCACCCGGTTGTTGGGTATCCACTTCTTGATGTAGTTGAGGACTTCTTGTCGGACGAAGTCTTTGCTGTGAGGCGAATTTATGCATGCTTGCGTCAAGCCGCTCTGAGAGCAAGGAAATATATAGTTGAGGTATAAACATCGTTCAAGCATCGACGAACCGCGCCGTGAGTGTCTCGACACCATTCGCCCATACTGCGTTACCAGTGAGCTGGCAAAACGGGTCAAGAAGTCTGTTAGGGACATACTTCTCGAGTAACTCCTTGTCTGTCTTGATAATGTACGAAATGCCTTGGTCGACGGTCTCCAAGTTTCCGTTCGTAATCAACACCTAGAAGCTGGTGAATGGTGTACAACTGACAGCACGTGGTGGATACGTACTGCAATCTCCAAGATTCTATCCTTGCGCGGATTGAGACCCGTCATTTCGCAGTCAATCCAAACTAGCGGACCTGCAGCAAAGTCCAAGGGTTTCGCTTCCATCCCGCGGAAGGTTCGTACCAGAACGTAGTGAGAGACAGAGCTACGCAGAGAGTTCCGGCCCGCTGAAAGTACGGTTCTGAGCATGCAAAGCCAAGGTCACAACTCCGCTACCTCGGGTTGTGTGTGTGTACTGCACAGCGCAGGTTGAGCGTTTGAACGTTGACCGGTCGACCGCTGAGGAAGCCGCTGGCATTTAATTACAGTACATACGGGCGCCTATAACGCCTACCTGACGGCTATAGGGCGCTTATGGCATTTCATTGTGCCCCGCGCGGGCAATACTTGACCACAACCCACTACTCGCCATCATCCGGTTCGTCGTGTGGCGACTCCGTGTCGACGATGGCCACGCCGTTTTCCACACCACGCTACCCCGGTGCACCCAACCCAACCCCACGAAGCACTGGCAAGCCACTGCGGCCCCCGATCCACAACCCATACGACAAGTTCACCCAACCTCAGTTCGACGCGTGGATTAACGACATCACCGGCGCGTTGAAGCGTGCTTTGGGCCGCGACGATGGGCAGCCAGTGCCCTTGCACGCTGCAGACCGAACCGCCGCGGAGGATGATGCGGAGGGCGTAGACGATTCGTTTGCGGAAGTTCGGGCCCGCCGCTTGGCCAAGGGCAAACAGCGCGCGCGAGACGAGGATCTCGTGGACAATGGCGCACCCGAGGAGCACTACGGGGATGAGAGCGGATGGGGCGAGACGTACTCCGGACAGGACTACAGCAGCGAGGATGAGGAAGGGGAAGAGGAGAGCGAGGAGGACGAGGAAGAGGAGGCGCCAGACAAGCCCGATGCAGAGGTCATCGAGCTACTCTCGGACGATGAGGACGCCAGCGGAGAGGAGCGGGATGGTGAGGAAGAGGACGGCGAGACGGTCGCCGGACCAGCGCCGGCATATGACGAAGAAGAGGACGAAGGTGGCTTCGACGAAGGAATTGTCGAGGACGAAGTAGCCGCGGACGTGGATGAGATCGTCGAGGAAGAGGAAGACGCTGCAGAAGAGGATCTTGAGGACGAGGAGGATGCTTACAAGGCGCAATGCGACGAAGACGAGGACGATGCCCACGAGAACATTCATAGTAGCCCCGCCCACGAAGTGACCGAAGTCCTTGACTCGGACGAAGAGGAGGCGGAGAGTGAACCGTTCGCTCAAGGCCCCGTCATGCCCGCTCGTTTCCTTCGAAAGCCTGACGTTCTCACTGGCGTGCATGTCGAGCTGGATGAAGACCAGCTGGGTGAAGCAGCCGAGGAGGAGCAGAACGAGGAAGAGGCCGAACGTATGTCATCAGCTGCGTTCATCCGCAAATACTCAATCACTTCCATAGCCTTCCCTCCGCGAACCGCTGAGCGCGAAGAGATCGACATTCAGGACCCTTGGCAAGGACCCAGTATCTATGCCGAAGACTTCTACTCCAATGGAGACATGCCAAGTGACGCCATTGAGCATGGGGGCAATCCTCACTTGCTCCCTACTGAAGAGGAGCCAAACGGTAGGGTTATCTACTGACCCTCTTATATAGTCTCCTGACTTTCCACAGAACTTGTTGCAGATATCGCCTTGACACCGGAAATCCGCGATCCTTGGGAAGGCCCTCGCACATATGCGGAGGACTTGTACGCAGGCGGCGACGTCCTACCAAACCCCGCTGACGGTGTAACGCCGTCTCACCTCACTCCTCGAGACGACGGGGAAGTGTATATCCCCGGTATTTCGTCTGTCCGGCCCTCTGCGCCTCGCTCCCCTGGCCAGCAGCAAGACGTTGTCGACCTGGACGCCGAACAGTGTGCACCCTCGCCTCAGGTTGCCCTGGTCACGGAACGTGTACAAGACGAGACGGAGCCGGAATCTACGGCTCAAGACGCCCAGGAGCCCGTTGACGAAACACCTCGTTCGCCCTCACCTCCATCGCTCAACAAGCACGTGAACTGGAACTGGCCGCCTGCTTTCCCAGGCCGCGTCGCGAGCGGCGCAGGTCACCTCACTGAGGTCGACGACGGGATTGTGGAGATCAGCGACGACGAGGACGAGGATGACATGGCCCCGCCCGACGCCAGTCAAGCTGAACCCAACGTCAGGGAGGCGATCTCGGCGGAGCAGATTCCCTTCGGAAGTGCTTCTGACGGTCCGGGTTCGCCTTCGATGCCATTCTCGCTGGGCTTCGAGGAGCTGTACGACATGGACGCTGGGGCTGCTTCATACTCTGCTTTTGAGCCTGTTGCGAGCGCGGCAGACTTTGGAGACTTGCCGCCTAGTCGGGAAGAGCGGCATGAAGGCGACACTCTCGGTGAAGAGGCACCACCAGGTTCTCTCAATAGCACCACAGGTGTAACGGGCACGGAGGAGCACGTGCTGGCTTCGGAGGAGCGTCCGGCCTCCGCGCCTGGACAGCCTTTCGTGGAAGAAGTCGAGGATATGGAGGGGTCGCTCCCAAAACGGAGTGCTACAGAAGAACTTGATGTCGTCTCCCTTCCTGGTGACGACATCGATGTGTCTACGAGAGATTACTTGATTGAGGAAGTCAGCACCGAAGGAAGGCGGACTGAGGTATGGCTCTATCGTTTCTTGGCCCGTAGCACATCTGCTAACCATGTGCAGGAGCCTGAGGCCGCCGTTGATGCTGCTGATGATGCAGCTGCGGCTGCCCCTACTCTGTCGCTCAATACAGAGGGCGCGACAGTCGGCGGAGAGTACCCTGCTCCTGTCTCGGCAGATCCCACTGTTCCCGATCCTACGAGCGTCTCACACACGCCCGCCTCCCCAGTGGACTCGATCGCTTCCTCTTCATACGACAAGGAGCTGGTGGATTCGAAGCCTGTCTATGCTGCTTTGCTCCCCGTGATTCGGAAGGGCACGAGTGCGCACAGTGCGAGTGGGCTGTTCACGCCCATGACCGACGGTCCTTCGGGGTCTGTCACACCAGAGCACCTGGAAAGTGGGTTGCCCCATGCAGAAGCACAAATTGCTGAAGAGCACGCGGAGGCACCTGCTGAACCAGACGTTGTTCCCTCGGTCGTTGAAGGTCCCGAAACCCCCGCAGACGAAGAACCATCAGGTGAGAACTGCGTCGTCTGCGACCGATCGATTGTTCACTGCTCAATCCCGACAGTGCCCGGTCTCGAGGGTTCTGCTGCTCAGGAATCCGTGTCTCAAGGAATGTGTACAGATGAAGGAGACGATTCTTCCGCACTCATCTTTGAGCCTCAAGAAGCTGTGACTGCTGCCCCTGCACATGAGGATCGGCGCACGTCGCCTGCATTTGACGCAGGCGCCGATGCCGATGCGGACGCCGACCCGGAAGGAGAGCTTGATCTAGAGTATGACCCTTCAGAAGGAGCCGAGGAATCTTCCGTCGCTGTCGCGGAGGAGATCATTCCTGCTGCCCCTAAGACGGAAGAGGATGATCCCTTCGTTGTCAAGGAGGATGCAGAAGTCCCCCTGGCGGAGGATGCGGAGAGGGATGACAAAGCAACGTCCGTCTACAAGTACGTGGCGTGTCACCTACTGATGAGCTTGGCTTCTCATTGCGTTACAGCGAGAACGCCGTCAAAGAGGCCGCCGTACGCCAAGCAGCTGAAAAGGGAGCGCCCGATGCTTCCAATACGACGGAAGCTGACCAACGCGATGAGGGCAGACCTTTGAAGCGTAAGCGGAAGTCGCCCCCTGCAGGACCGGTTCGCATCACACGTTCAAAGACGTCTGTGTCAGGCCTCGGCCGGTCGCAGCTTGTTGCTCTGGAGATAAGCCCCAAGTCACGGAAGGGCAAGGGGAAGGGCAAGCAGCGCGCTTCACGGGAGACCGACGATGAAGAAGATGCGGCGTCCGTCGCTCAGAGTTTGATCAGTGAAGAAGGGTCAGTCGCATCTTCCATTGCAGCGCAGAATCTGCTTCACGAGGACGGCAGTCGCGAATCCTCCCGTGCTTCGTCCGTGGTCTCAAATGGGCTAAGTATGTACTCCGAGGCCTCGCCCACTGTCGGACGGACTCTCCCGAACAATGGTAACCGGCTCGTATCCCTCCCGTTCATTCATGACAATGGTGTCTTGCGCCATAATCACGGCGGACGAGCTCCTGTTCCTGTCCTACCCCCTCCGCCACCGAAGCGTCAGCTATCACTGCCCCCCGCTCCTTCGTCTCGCGACAGTGTAGCCTCATCTCGCAACGGCGTGGCTTCGTCTCGCGACAGTGTGGCTTCGTCTCGCGAAGGGTCTGCGAAGCCTTCGCCTCCGGCCACTCAACCCCCAATTTCACGGCCATCCTTTACCCCCTCCACTTCCACTCACTCACCTGCCACGCGCTCCAACTGTCGTTACCACACAATCAGCCTACCACGTGAAGAGGACGACGAGCGTCATGTTTTCTTCGCCGTCCCTGGCTGCTCTTTAAGCAATGCTGAGCTCATGGAAGAGGAGAACATCAGGGACCACGGTCTGACCCGTACGGATGAGTTGCCGAGCAAGATCACTCCTATCGAAGATCTTAAGATCTCTCCCGAACTCATGGCCACCCTGCGACAGCTCACTGGCGTCGACCTCTTCCGCGAGCAAGAGGTGATCTACCTCCCTCGTCCGGGCGACAACATCGTCCCCAAGAAGCGGCGGTTGCGCACGAAGCTCATCCAAAGGGAGTCCATCAGTGCCCGGACACTCCCTTCCAAGGAACTTTACAGTGCCAAGCAGACGACCCACAAAGCTCCGCTCTCGCAAATGTCCGCATCGACGTCTGGGGGATCTGCCAGTGTTGCGGCCAAGCTGTCCGAGCGCGGGAGCGCGTCGACTAGTGGCGGGTCGTTCTCCGGGAGCGACCTTAGTGACCTGGAAGATGAAGACGAGAGACCCACGAAACGCTCCAAGGCATCGCCTCCCGACCCGGACCCGGACGCCGGCGAGGTTGCTCAGCCCGGAGTCGAGGAAGCTGAGCTGATGGCGAACGGGGAATCTTCGAAGGAGCCCCACGAGAATGGGAAGGCCGATGATTCAGCCAGCGTCACGCGTCGTAGGCGGCAATCGCGACGTGCCAGGAAACTCAAAGTCGACGCCCTTGCCTTCAAGCCAGAAGAAGGCCAGAGTGACGGATCGGATGAGGAAGAGGGCGCTGATACACTGAAGAAACGCAGACGCGTTAAGAAGCGAGGCGTGAAGCGTACCAGGACGGAGGAGAATGGGGAAACGCAGGTCGATGGCGCTGTCCCTGAACGACCTAAACGACGCCGCCGGGGAGAACAGGCTGCGATGGAGGCTGAGGCGCCTCAGTCGTAGGCGTGGTTGGGACACTGGTTGAGAAGTCTGTTCAATCACAAATCGTGTATAATCGTCCCGCTTGCCATACCGTGCTTACCACTTACTACTCAACAGCTTGTTTTATTCCCACCTGATGGGTACTCAGTGAGTCCTTACAGTAGGGAAACCTCATCGGTGATTCGAAGCTTTACTGCTGATAACGTGACTGTTGCATGGACGGTTTGCTGCGCCCAGTGGCATGGATGTGGTAATGCCCGCAGCTGGAAGGTGACAACTGGAAGACGGTAGACGCCATACTTGCTCATTTCTTGAACTCTGTTGCCATTACCATCACCTCCGGTGTTCGACGTTCAACGTTCAACACCATCGTCGCCTCTGAGATCTGAACGTCGTCTCTGAATCACGTAGTTTGCAACACCTTCCATTCGTCGTCTGAGCAGCGCTGAGTTATTGCTTCGCTTCAATTCTATTGATCTGCTTACGAACATATCAGCAGGGTACCGGTCTTAGGTGTTAGTATGAGGTGCTTGCGTAGTCAAGCTGAGTGGATATAGTACAGTGTTCCATAGTATGGGATTCTACCAGGGGTCATTGCCCATACGAGTCATCGAATATGTGGTAAAATGGGTCTGGGGTGGATGAAAGCCGAGATAGTGAGGTGTACTAGGAATCATCTCCAGTTCGGCGTGCTCGGATGATCCGTACATGGCGATCCTTTTAGCGCCGGAGATGATTCTACATACAACGTTGGTTGTTGGAACCGTATTGCAATCATCCATTCGAAACTCTCTCCTGCTCCAGATCCTGCTGGATCTTAAGGTCTTCAGATCTCCATGATCATGACCAGGAAAGGCGATCATGCCGAAATTGCGGACGACGTCTTGCTCATCGTTTTCTCTCTCCTGGACATAGAGGATCTCCTGAGATGCAAGCAGGCTAGTCTTGATCCCCAGTGAGAACGTGCGCGATTTCGGTCGATTTGGGGCGTATGAGGTGGTGTCCAGCCGTATAGACTCGTGCCGTTTCGATTAAGCTCGGACGGACGGTGTTAGCGCCCATCTGACGTCTCCAAGAAGCCCTTTCGTCTCTGGATCGGACGTGCATAGCTCTTAAGCTTTGGAGATTGGCAGCGCTGGCCTAAGCGATGAGGCGCGCGTCCAAGCGCCAGGTCCTCGCATAGACCAGATGGCGAGCATCTCCAAGAGATAACATCGGCTATCGTGCTCCTGCTCTTGATCTAACCTGCGTAGCTGATAGCGGCGGTCTCTCATTGTAACTGCTTCTCCTCGCTAACCGCTGGTCCGATTACCTCAAAACAACGTGTGTACAATACTCATGTACGCAGCGAAGAAAATGTTTGGTCCAGATTTTGGCGAAAGTGCGCGCACTTTGATGAAAACACATCCTAAAAAAACTATACCAAAGACTTCAAGCCCCCAAAGCATACAAATGGATTGGTGTATTTCGTTTTGCAGGCAATAGGGTATGGAACATGCTATTAGACAATCTATGGAGGCAACCAAGGACAGCGGACAGCCTAAGCGCGCAAGCCGGAAGAAACAGTTTCCAAAAAAGGCATCTTGGTCGTCCAGCACGACGATGGCTCTGACACGCCGTTCTTCCACTCAGAAAGCTCACTCTGCAAGTCAGATGTGAAGAATTAGTGACAGGCGACTAGCAAAGGAGAAATATCAGCCTTACCACATTCCTCCTCCCATCCAGACATATTCTGGGCTGCCTCTTAGCTCTACATCTGACACCCATCCTAACGCCCAGCAGCTCAAGACAAGCAGCACAAAGCGGCGATAAACTTTGACGTTCCCACCCGCAGCATGCGGCTATACTTAGTAACGTAACGGAATGTCAGTAACCCTAATAGGCCTGCCATCTATCCTGCCCCAACTTACAGCCTGAAAGCACCTCAGAAAGGACGATTTGACGTTGTACCACTGAAGGACCATGTCGGGCTCATAAATTCAATCGCAATCGTGACGCTTAGATGATAATGCAGCCAAGATAATCGGAATCGGACAAATCTCGATATAGCGGCGAGCGTCTCTATCACATGTCCTGAACATCGGCTAGCGGGCGCTGCCAATCTCCATAAGCTTAAGGCTTAAGGACTTGACATCTGTACACGGCTCTTAACGACATGACGTCTGTGCATGGCTTATAACGATATGACGTGTGCGAGTGTCTCTAAGTCCAGCGTTGCAATGCATATAGTTATGTGTGTCCCTAATATCGTGTGCGGCGTGTGTCACGAACCGCCCTCACGGCGCTATGTTTCCTTTTCGATTCGGACCACTGCCTCGTACGTTTCCTTATTGTTCACTACTCGCTACGGTTTCCCTTTGTCCACACACGGACAATAGCTCCCTTTGTTCCCACGTCCGCTATTGTCCTACACCCCTTGTACTCCGTACCCATGGCGACGCTATTGTTCTCTAGCGCCCATTGTTCGTTCCCTGTATATAGCTGGCTACCTGGAGACTCTAGTTTCGACCTCTTGTCTCCAGGTAAGCCATCGTGTATTTCGCTCTGTAGATACCTCGCTCAATACACAACTTGTCTCCAGTCCTGCCTGTTGAGCTCCGCTCCAGTCTCACTGCGATCAGAGCTCGTCGGCGCTCCTGCCTGCCTCGCTCGTCTCCACTTACTCGCTCGATAGTCAGTCGTAACATTAGGTCGAAACTACCTCACAGGCACCAGCGCCCTCCCACGTTTAACACTCCGTTTATCACTGTCCTCCCCCACCTTTCCACCCTGGATTGTAGCTCGTTTTTCCACGGCTTTCATCCTGTCGCCGTAGAAGACCAACACTACAACCTCAACTATCAGCGGTGGCACATCTGCCCGAGCCAACCCTG